TTAGGGTTTAGGGTTCCGAAGGCCTGATCAACAATCAAAAAGAAAATGCGAATCCAGGTAGAAACATCAAGTACTATTTTCATGTCATATAGGTGTCGAATGCACATACCATAGGTCCTTCCTCATTGTTCAATCACAAATACTGTGCCACTTTAGTTGCCACCCGCGTGATATCTGTTACGTGTTTACGTACTTGCCTGCTTATTGAAAGTAGTGTTCATGTAGTTTAACAGCGATGTAACTAACTGTATCCGAATTCAGAATCAACACTTGCTTAGCACTTAATGCTTACAGAACATTTGTGTACTATGTTTGTGTTATAACTTCATTCTCGCTTCAAAGTTGATTTGATACCTAACTATTGGTCAGTTGTAGTTGCCGTTATCTTTTTTGTACCGAAGAAAACGATACCCAAGATCCCGAGAAATCAAGAGGCACTTAACTGCTACGTCATTTAAGTTCCATATCCTGAGAGACCATGAACCTAGTTCAAATTTCCCATAATTTTCCGATGGTGAATTAGCAATCAGTGTATGTTAGTTTTGTACTAGGCTCAATGAATATTGAGGAGATGATAGGTGAGGTTCTGCTTCTGCTGCATGCAGATTGACGGATTAGTCACCCGTTTGGCTTAGGGTTTAGGGTTTAGGGTTTAGGGTTGTTTAGGGTCTTTTGATTACATTGTACTCTTATGGTTCAACATGTCCACATTATACTAAAGATGTGCTGGGTGTGTGGTTGGTGTGAACGTATAGTGACACAGTCTCCGAGCGGTTAAGGTTTAGGGTTTAGGGTATAGGGTTTAGGGTTTAGGGTTTAGGGTATAGGGTTTAGGGTTTGCAACCTACTATATAAACACATTGACCGTTTATCAGGCATCAACTCGAATTTTGCCCACGTGCTAACATCATACGGGATTCACCACACTTTTTGGTTGCGTACTCAAGTTGAGAATACACACACACACATATATATATATATATATATATGTAGACGTACATATAGCTATGTCAAGTGTTTTGCTAGCTGGGAATCTTTCGACGTACAAGTAGTCACACATAAAAATCAGTTGCCCCGTTATCATTTGATGTCAACTGGTTGTTTAATCCAAAGAACAGTAGATAAATGCGTCGAGAACATGTATGTTTTGAGTATCAGATATTATTGGTTTTCGATTGATACTTGCACGAAAACTGGGCACTCTGCGATTTGTTAAGCCCCCTAACCCCTAAGCCCCAAACCGGTCAACTCCGAAACCCTGAAATCTGGTCAACTCTAAACCCCGTAAGCCCCGAACATTAAATCCCCGAAGCGCTAAACCCCGCACCCTCTCGAACCCGAAGCTTAGGCCTCTTTATGAGTATTGCGGGCGGAGTGAGCTGGGAGCAAGTGCTCGTTCCACTGAAAGCCATTTCTGCACCATGGGTGCTCCTATTCCTTTTCTACATGTGGCTTAGCTTGAAAGTTGCACATGGGTTCATGGGGGGTTTGGAAAGGTTCATAGGGGCTCTACAGGGGTTCCGCGCGGGTGCTCCAACTCATCTTCTACATGTTGCTCAGCTGGAGGTACAGCTTTCAAGCTGTTAAGGGTTGCTTCGAGAACCCTAAACCCTAAACCCCTAAACCCTAAACCCCTAAACCCTAAACCCTAAACCCTAAACCCTAAGTCTAGACGGGTTCGTTTCCTACATGTCGCGCAGCTGGGAGGGCACTTTTTTACCTGTGGCTCAGCTTGGAGTGCAGTCCAGGGATTGCGATTTGGGCTAACTGTTGCGGTTTCGGGTTCTTCAGTTCAGGGTTGAGGTTTGGGGAACCCGTGTTGCTCGTAGGCTTGTTGTGATATTTGCAGCCAAAGACACAGCGATATTGCAAACCGGTTGAGTCTGTGAAGTATTTCTTATATAAATACGTCAGGTGGATCTGTGCCGCATGTGCGCTCTGCTTAGATGTGCGCGAAACCAAGCCATGAAATCTAAGCGCAGTTAGCCAGGTTCTTCACTTACTTTGCGGTGCTCAATGCGGCTTGCTGCAGCAAGTATTCAGTTTAGGGTTTAGGGTTTAGGGTGTTTGGCAGTTTTCGCATGGTAGTTAGTGTTTTGGATTCCAGCTGCAAGTTCCAGGTAATTACTGGCGTGTCTGGGCCAGCATCCAGGATCCTTGTGCTCGTTGTGGTCGCAAGTGTAAGGTTTAGGGTTTAGGGTTTAGGGTTTAGGGTTTAGGGTTTAGGGTTTAGGGTTCTGCGAGTCATAAGAGCAGATCTGACATTTTTTGGGTTTGTCTAGCTGGGACCCAGGTATTTTGCCAGTCAGCCATCGACAGTGCGCAGAATGATCATGCTACCGTGGTCCATACCATCTTGGCGAACAAAGAGGCGCACCTGGAAAAGGCGGACGGCATGTTCAAGTCTATGTGTGATGGTCGTTCAGGGCATTCAGGGCTAACCCCTAAACCCTAAACCTTAAGCCCCATACACAAGACCTTAAACTCTCAACTGGGGGTTTGGGTTTTTATGGGGCTTAGGGTTTGTGTGGGTTCGAGGGTTCCGAGTTGTTGCGTTCAAGGTGGTCCTTGTCCAGGGTTCGGCAAATTATTAAGCCCGAAACCCTGAGCCCCAAATCCTCAAATCCCAAACCCTAAACTTTAAACCCTAAACCCCAAAGCCTCCAAGAGCCAAGAATCTCGAGGTTCCCGTAACCGTGCGCACGGTAGGTGCGGGAGCTTTTCAACAAGTTGGGGGCAGAGAATACAGGTGGCATCACGTACCTCATGTTTGAGGAGACTTTTGCTTCGCTCTCAGGAAACCCTAAACCCTAAACCCTAAACCTCAAACCCTAAACCCTGAACCCTAAACCCTAAACCCTAAACCCTAAACCGTGGGTCTGTAATGACGCAAGTCACTGTTGTTTGAGGAGAAGATAGGATCTCCAGAGGTGAAGGAGTACTTCGAATCTCTCGGCCTCGTCGCGCGGCATGCGTTTTTTTTTTAGGTTTTAGGATGTAGGGTTTAGGGCTGGAGTGACTGGAGAGGAGTTCACATTCCGGCGAGAATTTGTTCTTTGGTGCATCGCAGGATCATTCATCATGTGCTGAGGATGTATGGGATGCCTGGTCTTTCTTCAAAATGCTGGATCTGGATGACAGTGCCTCGGCGAAGAACGGATCGACCTGAGAGGTATCGGTATCAGGTTCGATGTCTCCGCACCTGGGCTTTCAATAAGTTTAGAACCCACGGCCTGGGATCAGAAGATCTGCATGATGCCTCTGAAGGTGGTGCTGTGGACATCGAGGACCAAGACAATCTTCGGCCTAAGCTGTAAACCCTAGTGGCCCTAGGATTGGGGTTTTGACTACGGATCATACTGCTTGTGGTCAATATCGGGGGGCATTTTCCTCTGCCACTCCCATGTGCTACAGCTCTCAGCCTTCGTTTAGGGCTGTTCAGCCCCAAGACGTTTAGATTGAGTGTACAAGGGTCAGTGTTTGCGGTACCAGAGGCCAGAAGTCGCTTGCGCACAGGCACAGGACATGCTGCGATCTTGGCATAGCGTCGGAAAGCTCAGCAATATTCATCATTGAGGCTTAGACGTGAACGTGCGAGCCCAAGAAAAGCTCCATGTGCAGGAGTTCTTGATGGGCTGCCTGCGCGTGCGGGGCACTGCCAAAGCCATCGACATTGGAAAGACGCTTTGAGCTTATCAAATACGATAATATGCAAAAATATGCTGCAATATGCTATAACATGCTGTAGTATACCTTTTTGCTAATACATACTACAATATGCTAGAGTATACTAGAATATACAAGAACATGCCCTATACTACAATATAGTACGATGTGCTATAGTAGATGCTGAGGGTTCAGTTTCAGGGTGTCGTGATTCTGCAGGCATCGACAAAAAAAGCTGCATTAAACTACGCTGACCTCGGAGGATCAGGGGAGGTCGTAAGCCATGTCATAAGTGCCTTAGTAATATCAAACCCTAAACCCTAAACCCCGGTAATATCTCCGTCTGGGTAGTCCTCTAAAATAAGGTCCCTTTTCGGGTCCCTGTTTCTCAGGGTGCCGTACTATACCGGGGACCTGAAAAGGGACCCTAATTTAGAGAACTACCCTATCTAGAACCCGACACCTTGAACCCTGCAACCTTCCTAAACTTTAAAGCTGTAGACTCGAAGCTGAACCCCTACCCACTAAGTCCTAAACCCTTAATCCCTAATACCCTAAACCCCGAAAGCCTCAAACCATATGCAAACACTAGACCCGTGTTGTTTCGAGTTCCGGGGGTTTCTGGGCTCACGACTTTGTTTGGGGTTATAGAAAGTTCGGAAACCTAGGCTCTAAACCCTAAACCCCTAAACCCTAAACCCTAAACCCTAAACCCTAAACCCTAAACGCTGAATATTCTGAATCCTCCGCCCTCCTCCCGACAAGCACTCTCTTCGGGTTCCTTTGGGTTTCTCAGAAACAGCCGTTTTCCTAAGATTTTGCTACATTTTTCGTGGTCTCCTTTTGCGACGGAGCAATAGGAAAGAAGATGCCGTTATTTTCAAGGGGATGCTAGGGTATTTCGTAATTTTCATATCACTTTTTTGGATTCAGGGTTTAGGGTTTAGGGCTTCTAGCGCATCTTTTGATGCCCCTGATACTACCAAGACCCTGAACCCCGAATCATAAACCCTAAACCCTAAACCCTAAACCCGAAGGATCATCCACGACCAGACTTGGCAGATCAAAGAGCAAGGCAAGTTCCAAACGTACGTGGAGCCTCAGCCGAGCCGAAGTAGGGGCTTTGAAGTGTTTTAGGGTTTATAGGGTTTAGGGTTTAGTTTTAGGGTTTTCTAGAACTCCTTATAGGGTTTCTAGGGTTTAGGGTTTAGGGTTTAGGGTTTAGGGTTTAGGGTTTAGTTTTAGGGTGTTCTAGAACTCCTTATAGGGTTTATAGGGTTTAGGGTTCAGGGTCTACAGGGTTTCTAAAAGGGCTCTGTAAGGCGTGGTCGGCCATTGTCTGCTCATGCTTTTCAGATATTTAAGGACTATACTAATCCCTTGAAGCATAGAGGGATCAACCCTAAACCCTAAACCCTAAGCCCTAAACCCTAAATGTTTATGATTTACGGTTTGTTTGTAAGTCCTTCAACTCAGGGGTTTTGGAGTCTCTGGGGATGTAGAGACGTACCAGGCACCAGGGACTCTGGGATTTTAGGACCCTTTAAGGGTTTAGGGTTTAGGGCTTAGGGGCTGTAGTAGCTGTAGACGGGTCAAAGCTCGCTCAAATAAATCGACTAGAACCTGCTCGACACTCCGAGCCCGGACCCTGTACATGGTTTGGGTTTAGGGTTTAGGGTTTAGGGTTTAGGGTTTAGGGTTTAGGGTTTAGGGTTTAGGGTTTAGGGTTTAGGGTTTAGGGTTTAGGGTTCAGGGTTTAGGGTTTAGGGTCTACATATCTATCAATCAACCCTAAACCCCAAACCCCAAACCCCAAACCCAGCCTAGAAGCCCAAACAGAGAACCCTGGCAAGTTTCCGCGTCCCAAAACCGCAAACGTAGACTGAAGCCACTAAACCCTAAACCCTTAAAAGGGTCCCCCAACCCCTCAAGCGCACTGAGGAGTCCGAGCTGAAGGAAATCAAGGCTTGAGTGGGGTTTGTAGCTTCCCGGATGCTTCCGCCCAGAAGCCAGGGGTTTGAGGTATAAGGTTTAGGATTTGATAGGGTTCTTAGAAGGTTCAAAGCCTTTAGGGCTGGTTTCTGTTTGTAGTGCTTCCTTCGGGTTCCAGGGTTTGGGGCGACTCTGGGTTCGTGTTCCTGTCATGCACTTCGCGGATCATGGGACTCTGTAACTCTCAGTGGTGCTCTTTGCAGTTTTTTGGTTTTTGTTCTGCGCAACTTTGGTCGCAGTCATGAGCATGCCGACAGCGCGTTCTTCAGGATCAGGGGTTGAATCCGAAAGCCTACATCCTGAATCGTAAACCCTATAATGCCAAATCCCACATCCCGCAACCTTTAGAAGTACGGGCGTGCACGCTTGTGGAGGTGTGGTGGTCCGGTGGTCGTGTGTTCGATTGCTGCGTCTTCCTCGTCGTAAAGTCGGCCAGCGTAATGTAGGGGCCTTAACAATCAGAATAGGGTTTTGGGGGCTCCTCATTATATTTTACAATAATATATACCCCAAACCCTATTCTAGTTATTGAGGCCCCGATAGTAGCAGAAATGCGTTCGCTTGCCACGTCTTCCTCATAAGTAGGCTGACGTTGGTCGAGACACGCGCTGTGTTATGTGGTTTCGTGACATGGCCTTTCGCTCGTGCATCGTGGGCCTGACCATGTGGGAGTTTCCCAAGGGAGCTTGGCGACATCAGGGGTTCAGGTGTCTCACGGCGTTTGAGGGTCCTAAACTGTCTCACGATGGCTCGCAATGGCCTCTAGTCCCGAAGCATTAAGACCTCGCACCCTCTAACCCTCGAACCCCCAAAGCCCTACACTCCAACAAGCCAAACCGGTGTATCATAATCTTAGTGCTGGTGTTGCCTAAACCCTAAGCCCCGAACCCTAAACCCTAAACCCCGGGACGCTAAACCCTAAACTAAACCCCGAATCCTAAACCGTAAACCCCGAACCATAAACCCTAAACCCTAGACCCTAAACCCTAAACCCTACACCCTAAACCCTAAACCCTACACCCTAAACCCCCAACCCTAAACCCGAAGCC